TAGATGGATGGATGGATGATGGATTGGTAGATGGGTGGGTGGAAGATTTGTTCTCCTTCTTAGAGCAAATGGCTAATTGTAAACATTCTTTTCCATTTAATTGACCTCCAAGGCATGCATGTGCTACCAGACAGAACAGGGAATATATTGTAGACACGTTTTCACCATTCTAGGCAAAAATATATAATTCTACTGGGAAATGTACTACTGAAATGCAATGTTTGAGGGAATAATTGATTGACTTCTCTTGCCCTTGATGGGAAGCAGGATCAGTTCTACTCAAATGGTTGATAGTTCAACTTCTGGAAGTTGAGATGAGGAAGTCTGAATTTTGAGAGCCAAATTAGATGTTCAAAGAAGCACATATTATATTAGCCTGCATTCTAACTTAAAAACCATGTCTGTGCTGTGGCTATATCTATGTAAAAATTGCATGTGCATATAGACCAGGAATAGAGAGGAGTATAGAAAAGGTGAAAATTTTTCATTTCTTGGACTAACAAAATTGTTTATCTTTTCTTCTCTTTGGTTCTCATTATTGTTATAACGTTGCTTATGTGCTAAAAGAAAATTACCTGCTCTCTGAAAAATGAAATTAGGCAAATATAAATGGAATTCAGTGAATGTCTTCATTCCTGTGGGTAAAATTACTCTGCTTTTTAGATGCAAGAATACTGCCTGAAAGACAATACGATGCATCTGTACTTAAGAAATGGTGTATATAATCCAGAATCGCTTCACTTAAGCGGGATGTGCTGTCAACACCTGTTTGGTTATCTTACTGTGCATTCTTGCATTCAATAATACATACTGAATGGATTTTCCATGGAAAATCTTTTATTAGTCCCATGGGCCTGGTGGAAACAGTCTTTGTCCCTTTTCAGGAAGTAGTATCCTGGCTCTCATTCATTTCTCCACCTGCGGTACCAGCTTCCTTGGTTTTGCATCTTTCTTCTCCATCCTATATGTGTCCATAGAATTTATCCTTTATTTTTCATTTGTAAGATCATCTCTTTCCACCTTCTTCCCTGAAGTATTGGCCTCCAGGACACTTAGTAGATATTCACTCCTCCTGCCCACTTCCTGGTGAAGCAGACCATTCTATTATTAGGCAATACTAATTCTTAGAAATTCTGAAGTTTGACTGATACACAATTCTGCCTCTGCGAAATTTCCTTTTGCTTGTAACTGTGCCTTTGGGAGCTACACAGAGTCAGTTTTCTCCCTCTTCTATGTGATATGTCTTCAGATAGATGAAAACTCTAAGTATTCGATATTTGAGGCTGAACACATTCTTCAACTTTATTTTATGTGACATGTTTTGCAAACATCTTTGTATTTTGGTCATCTTTGTAAATATACTCTCTGTTTCATTATCTGTAACAGTATCCACCTGAAACTACGATATGCTATTGTGTGTCTGGGCCAGGGAGAGATCTGTCCTGAAACATTAGCTCCAGTGCACTCTTGCAAGTCGTCAGTTACACTCATTGATGCAAAGCAAAAGTCCTGGGGTTTTTTGCCTTGTTATGTTTTGTTTTATACATAGACTTCGAGAGATGCACCTATTATATAATAAATATGTTTACAACAGAATTAAGAATTCTAGATTATTCTTAGTAGAAACAAGATTCAAAAGATATCAATTGTTTGAGCTGTTGAACACAATTACATTAATTGTGTTCAAAATTAATAACATTAATTTTGTCATTCTG